ATTACCACTCAGGTAAGTATAGTGAGAAGACTCACCTCATAAAGTAAAGCAAGTATATCCCGCACCTGAACTGTCGGTCTAGACTTCGCCTAACATATATCGCATATAGATTTAATTAATATTTGATATTAACAAACCCTAAAAGTTTTTAGGCTAGACTTCTCTACTAATATCAGAAGGGTAAAAGACCATTTTACCCCTCCATGTCCTTCAAGGTCCACAATTTGACCAAAACCCTAAAAGTCAACGGAAGTCAACACCCAACATGTACACTAGGCGTACAGTCTTCTACGTTGGGTGTACAGCTGCTCATGCATGCGATAGGGGTGGCTCAGCGCTACGTTGCACATAGCTGGGAGTACTCTTGACGTACGTCCCAGACTCACTTTTCTCACTCTCTTGGCCTTAACCCGTTAAGACCATAGTTATAATCTCAGATCTGGACTAACTAGAGTCTATTACTTCACAATTTTTAGGCTAGGCTTCTCTATTAATATCAGAAGGGTAAAAGACCATTTTACCCCTCCATGTCCTTCAAGGTCCACAATTTGACCAAACCCTAAAAGTCAACGGAAGTCAACACCCAACATGTACACTAGGCGTACAGTCTTCTACGTTGGGTGTACAACTGCTCATGCATGCGATAGGGGTGGCTCAGCGCTACGTTGCACATAGCTGGGAGTACTCTTGACGTACGTCCCAGACTCACTTTTCTCACTCTCTTGGCCTTAATCCGTTAAGACCATAGTTATAATCTCAGATCTGGACTAACTAGAGTCTATTACTTCACAAAGTTGGTGACTTTAAGCCTTAGCATGGTCAACTCTAAAACTCACAAATTCTCCTCCTTTATTCACAAAAGTTCTCATATATCATGCGTGGGGAGATATTGACGACCAAGATCTCCTTTTTATGAATCCAAACAACTAGAAACACCTAAATGGACATACGTTATGCTCTGGAGTTCATCAAACTCATAAAGCTTCAAGCTTTAGGGACATAAACCCTAAAAATGGACCAAAACATGAACTAATCAAAACAATGATAAAGCTTTGAGCTTGATACCTCTAAATGATGCACCAACCATAGGGAAACTCATATCCAAAAGCTTGGATACCAACTCTTCTTTCTTCAATGCTCCTTCTTCGCAAAAGAATCCCACAAGATCACTCACTAAGCCTCAATTGCTCACACAAGCTATGAAAAGCAGATTTAGGGTTTGAGGGGAATTGAAGGCTGGAAATGAGACCATCATGTTCCTTAAATAGAGACAGACAACATAATTATGGTTTACACTTTGAGCCTAGTACACCCAACATACCCTCTGGTACGCCCCACATACTGGGTGGCCTCCACGTGCATAATACGCACATGAGTACGATGAGCGTACACATGAGTACGCCCCTTGTACTCATCTGCCACCTTTTTCTCATTTAAGGGCTAGTTTGACAAAATCAATGAAATTAAGGGTCATTAATACATACATTATTTCAGGATGTTACATTATTTGTCTAGCCCAGATCTGCGAGTGTTACATCCGATCGGGTTTCTGATCACTAATAGTGTCAAGAAGATGAAATTTGTTAGGATATGTGAAACGAGACGAGTTCAACTAGATAAATTTGTCCTTTGATTTCTTTATCAACTCGGGATGAACTTTGATGAAACTCTGTCTTGTAGAGAAAAAATAAAACCAAGCATCACTACTACAAATTCGAAATAAATATTAAAACAAAACAACAGTCGGAACAACAAGCGCGGTTGGCATAGTAATTCAAAGAAAACAATTTGAGACAAAGTTGGATTTCAACTAACAAGTACGAATCTCGTTGGCTTTAATAATTTTCCCAAAGAAAAAAGAAAGAGGAACTCATAATCCTACCTCGAAATAATAAAGAAAATTGATCTAGACGCTCATGCGTAATAGTAGAAACACGAGAAGGCATTATACGAAGAGACATTACTTTTCCTAGTTCGAAGAAACTCAAATGGAGGAAAGGAAGGGATATTAAAAAAAGTAATGGGGAAAGATCATCTGATGTGACAAGAATTTATAACAAACATAAAGCAGGAAAAGCAAACCACCTCCACATTAAGAAAACAAAAGACCACACAAGCACCAAGGCGTGTAACAAATACTTCAAATGTTTCGTTGACTGGTCGATTCAATATGCATTTAAGCCTAATTATTAAAACCTATCTACCAACCACCTTTAACAATTAGGTTGCAGGCTTAATGGTGTATGGGCATAGGCCCACACACAGAAACATGTCGGCAAAGCAAAGATTAAACCGAACAGCACCAACAAAGCCTAAATATCCTCAAAGTCGGCTAGTAAGACGACCCAATCAGTCATGTCGAATAGCACTAAACAATAAAGAAAATCTTTCGTATGGATCTCTAGGTGCTATCCCAGAAAACATGGAAAAGGCAACATTGTTTTGTTAAAGGGCTCTACCCTTGTAACCATTGGACAAAAGCAATACCTAGATATGAAAGCAACGAATTGGACTAACTTCCACCTATAAAAAGCGTTAGACACCTATCGAACAGGTAACACACCACTCTTGTGCAAAGAAACTTCAAGTAGTTAACCTTATATCCTAAATTAACATCTAACTTAGGCATCGAAGAGTAATACTAGGGTCCCTACCCGATATAGCTTTCTAACCTAATTTTGTCTATCTTATGCAATATGACTTCCCGGATGCTCATTAGCAGAAGTCATCAACGACTAGCTAGAAACGTATCCGAGAGCCTGCGTAGCAATAGATGCCACAATAGAAAACGAACGCATCCCAAAGGCGAGTATTCAAAAACCAAGCTCAATTAGGCACTTTGCATGATACATATGCATTCTCCTTGCGACGCCTCAGCAGAAAGTCATCTTAACTTATATGTGATATAGATCAAAGAAAATATGGTAATCTTTTTCCTAATGAATTATTTCATTTCCATGAGTTTTACATATGAATTTAAAATTACTTTGTTCTCAAGATGATAAGAAATCCATTCAAGGGGTACAAGGTGTCTAAAATTGAATTTTCTAAAACATAAGTGCTTATTCTTGATGGACTTTATCAAGACAAATATATTTTTATTCATCCATGAGGCATACATACGAGATGAAAACTATTTTTGCATATATATTTTTACCACATCTAGCAACTAGCCTAGTACATTCAAGCTTCTCAAACTTTTGGGGGTAACTATTGGCAATAATATAGTTACTAAGGCATGGTCCAATTGCTAAAAATTATTATGTCTCTCCAACTTTTGGTTTCGTGAGATTCTATTTTATGGTGGGATCATGGACAATTACATCACTACCAACGTCATTCTCATCATCATCATCATCAATATGGACTATGTTCTCATCATCATCCTCACCCATATGTTCATCCATATCATCCAAAAACTCATATTAATCTTCACAAAAGTGTAACAAAATGATCATTATCATAATGAAATGTTATGTATATAACCTTTTCCCATTCATATCCATGGGCATATTTGGCCAAAGAACCTCATCATCAAACTCCACTTCATAATCAAAATCCACATCTTCAATGCCTTACCTTGCTTCCTTCCTGATATGGATGAGCAAAGGAGCCGACCTGGCTGGAACCGGCCCGAATCGAATCTGGCTCGGGAACCGTAGTCGGCCGAAATTAAGAACCGAACCCAGACCGCCAGTTCTACCGATTCCCAGTTCCTACTGGTTGTTGGTGTGTCTTCAATGTTGGAACCGATCATCGAGAAATAGCAACATACTGTTATAGTTTTTTTCTAGTTCTACCGGTTTCGGTTCCAAAAATTCACAAGAATATCATCCCGGTCTCGGCTCGACCGGTTCCATCAGGTTCCGGTTCCGGTCGGTTCCCCGGTTCAAATGCTCATCCCTACTTCCTGATGTTATCTACTTTACCAAATGTTACTTCCCCAATAACCCTAATTCATTTTCCCTGAAAAGTTAAATGAAATTAAAGTTGCAAAATTATCAAAGACTACAACCTTCCTTGGCCATAACATATATGAAGAGCATTTTGGAGGGGTAACTTCATTAAAACATGGTCTATGCAATGCTTACTGTGGTTAGCTCTCAACACCTCTCTGCAAAAGGATATGATTGTGTATGAGAGGTATATTTGTTAGCATAAACGTTTACCTCAAGGTATATTATGGTGATGTGTTTGAAAAAGATGCATGATAATGTACATATTGATGTTGTATCTTATCCCATGAATTCGATCTTAAAGCTAAGTAAACTTAAAAATCACAGCACTTGTGATTCTACTCGTTTGTAGACTTGTCTAGAATCCATGATACGATAAATCATTTGATTAGAAATGTGAATGTAGTCATGACATGCATCTGCTTAGTCAGATTCCCCTAATAAATATCCAAGTGCATTACAAAGTTGTATATGTATGAATAATGTTCTTTCGTGGGTTATGTTTTAAGGAGAAGCAAGAATGAATCTCATAAAGTTATTAATATCAGTAGGAGATGACGTATGATTTACTATAAATGAGTAAAGGGAAATGACTCATAAGGCTAACCAATTGTTGAGTTTGTTCTCATTTGCTCTCTTTCCTTTATTTTTTTGTACTCAATATATCATCGAACTTGTTGTTTGTGTTCACGACCGGCTATCACAGGTCAAAAGCCGATCAAAAGGGTTATGGTGAACACAAACAACAAGTTCGATAGTATATTGATTACAAAAAATAGGACCAAATGAAAACAAACGCAACAATTAGTTACCTTCGAAAGTCATTTTCCCAAAATTTTGCACATATCGTTTTCATTTAATGACACCGTGTCAACAAACTGTTACCGGTTGATAACCTTGAAACCAGGACCCCGACCAAGTAACAAAAAGAAAAGATGTTTGGTTTAATTTGGTAGAGAAAAAAAGTTTTGATTTAAAAAAATGTAAAAATATAGTCTTTTTCAATCAACCCAGTAGGCCAATATTAATATAGGATGGATATATGGTGTAGCAAAAGATTGATGATAGATATACAAGCCATCTTAAAGTTAGGGGTTATATTTACAAATATTTCATATCCAAAATCTGTTATCCGACTTGCCTTCTCAATCTTCACCCTCTAATGGCGGCTTCATGTGTTTCATCGTCAGCTTCAGCTTTCACACTCCAATCAGATTTTTTAAGAAATCGATCTCCAAAACCAATTTCCCTATCATGGAGTTCTTCGTTTCCGCAGTTTAATCTATCCCTCAGTTCAGTATCATCAAATCGCAACCTCAAGAACAAGGTACGCTCAACTCTTGAGACTCGTCTGAATTAATCTGGATATCTATTTGAAATTCAAACACAGTTTTGTGTGAGTGTATTATGAGGGAATATGACTGAAATTGTTCGTATGTACATGATCTTGTCTATGTAGATTTTTATGTAATTGATAATGCTTGGAACAGATACGTGAATAGAGTAAACCTAATCTCTCATCGAGCTCTTGCGCTTTGACTTTTGGAGTCAACCGAAATACCTTCAAAAAGCAAATTGATATGATATTATTACATGTTAATGTCAAATTATTTTTGTTTTTTAGAGTTATTATAACAAAGACTTAGATGTGGTTTTCAATCTTCCTAAAAAGCTTTATGGTTTTTTTTTCGAATTGAAGTTGCAAAGAAGTAAGTTTGACCATGAAAGTCAAAATGATCAAATTCAGATTTTGGAGTACGGATTTTATGTTTGGAAATTACTAAAAACAGTAAAAGGGGAGTTTGGTTTGTTGGATTTCATAGTATTTGGTTGGAATTGGAATTCAATTCCATTCCAATCCCACATTAGGGTTCAAATGAGTACATAATTCTATTCCATTTCCTATCAACCAAACAAACGTCAACATAATCCAATTCCTCTAAATTTCAATTCATTTCGAACCATTTTGCAACCAAACACCAATTTTGAATCATGTTTTCACATGAAGTTTGAATCCCAATTTTGTAACAAACTAATAATAATTTTGAAGACCAAAAAGATATATTTTTTTTTTTCTCAATCTAACTTACATTTTCTAGGGATTTGTTGTCGAAGCGGCTTGGACACGAAGATCAAGAAGCGAACTTGACAAAAAACCAAACAAAAAATCATGGAAACAAAGAACGGATATGTACATGAGACCATTTCAACTAAACGTTTTCTTTTCAAAAAGATTTGTTCATGCAAAAGTAATGCATAGAGGAACAAGCAAAGTGATATCCGTTGCTACTACAAATTCAAAAGATTTAAGGAACACATTGCCTTCGCTTATAGACAACGAAGCTTGTAGGGTCATAGGTAGGTTAATAGCCGATCGATCAAAAGAAGCCGATGTTTTTGCCATTACTTTTGAAGCCAAAAAGAATGAAAGAATCGAAGGGAGACTTGCCATTGTTCTTGATACCATCAAGGAGAATGGTATTATCTTCGTTTGAACTTTTAGTATTTACATATTTGTCCCTGAATGTTTGTCTTAGCAGTAAGAATGTGAGAATTTGTCTTTACTCATTTAGTGCATTTGGGACATTGTAATCTACCTTTTCCCATGTTAGTTGTGGGCCCGGTTTGTGGTGTTCTCTTTTTATGATAATTAAAAGGTTGTGTAACTAGAGCAATCATTGTATGTTCAACTCTTGATTTAGTGTTCTAAAAGTATCTAAAATTATAGTTTTTGAGTATTAGAATAATTCATAATAAGAATGTTGGTATCATGATCATACAATTCCCTTTGAATTAATAGTAAAATTATAGTTTTGAGTATTAAAATAATTAATAATAAGAATGTTAGCCCATCTCCAACTCTTAACATTATTTTTTTCACTTTACCTATAATTATAGTATAAAATATAATGTAAACAGTAAAGTCTTCCAACCTATTACATTATATTTAACACTAAGAAAATATTCTAGGTATATTATTCTTTATTCAACGTGTTATACTAAAATCCAACACTATATATAATATTAGATATAGTGTAGGGTTTGAGCATTATAATATAATTTAAAATGTAAAAATAACATTTTTAGTGTAGGGTTGAAGATGTCCTTAATATCATGACTATACAGTTCATTTGATTTGACTTAACAGTAAGAAGGTGAGAATCAGTCTCATATTGCAACTTATATTTTCCCATGTTGGTTGTGAACCATCTTTTTATTGTATAACTAGAGCTATCATTCTATGTTGAAATTTTCGATATTTAGTTTTAAAAATATCTAGAAATTTAGCTTTGGGTATTAAAAGAATCGATAATAATAAAAATATTATTGTCACAAATCATAACGTAATCCTTTTAATAAAAATCAAAACTAATTGTAATACATATAACAACTTTGATAGAATTGGAGTAACCCTTCATGATTCTTGAGTAAATTGCTCATCAACCAAATTACAAGTATGTATCAGGCGCAGTCCTGAACTAACAGTTCAGGACTGAGCCTGACACACAGATTGTACGTAACACGTTATTTGGCAGGGGCAAAAGCAGCTTTGACGGCTTCAAAGACTTCTCCAACGGGCTTACCGGCATCAATCTAAAAAAAATCATTAACATAAACATTATTAATCAATTTCCATATAATAAATAATACTATAACAAGAAAAGACTTGTGAATTTACCTTTTTGACCTTCCCCTTAGAGTTGTAATACTCGATAACCGCAAGACTAGAATCAACAAAAACCTTAAATCGTTTCCTTATTGTCTCAATGTTATCATCTACTCTCCCCTAAAAACCCCCAAAACAGCAATAGTTTTTACTTATTAGGTAAACTCAATCATAAAGCATTACACTTATTTTATAAAATATAATTTAATCACTACAGAAATTTTATTATATTTTTTATTTTATTTTTATTTTAAATTATATAACCGAACCTGGTTACGACCCAAGAGGCGTTTCTCCATTTCTTCCTCAGAACAATCAAAGAAAAGAACAAATTCGGGTATAATTCCAGTCTAGAATAAAACCATAAAAGATTAACAAATTAATCTCAAAATTTTAATAAAAAAATAAATTAGAAAGAAAGAAAAAAGAAAAAAAAGAAACTCACAACTGATTCAAAAGCTGCACGATTTTCCTCATTACGAGGAAACCCATCGATTAAAAACTTGTCATTCTCATTTTCCATAATTGCTTTTTCAAGAAGTTTAATTGTTACTTCTGAAGGAACAATTATTCCTTCTGATATCATGTTTTGGATCATTGTCCTAAAAACCAACAAAAAACAAAAATTGTACAAAGTCAACTGATTTTCTTGACTTTATGTATTAAGTAGTAATATAAAAATACAATAAAATTAAATAAATACCCATTTTTGGAACCCGATTTTATTTCTGCCCGAAGAAGATCTCCAGCACTTAAATGTGTGTACCCGAAGTGCTCTACAATATTTGCACATTGTGTGCCCTTACCACTGCCTGGACCTCCTACATATTGTAAGATCACCAAGGGTATTTTAGTCATTTAGATCATGTTTCTTTTTTTCATTCTAAAACATGATTATTTAAGTCCTCACCTAAAACAAACACAACCTTTGGCTTCTTTTCACTAAGTACACTTTTGCTTCCTTCCTGCAATAAATTAGGCCTATTAATGTCATCTATATGTAATAATTAATAATACATTTAAGATTCAAGAAATCAACAAGATGATGATGATGATGATGATGATGACAATATATGAAAGAAAAGGAACTAGATCTATGAGATCACTCAATCACTAAAGATATAGGGCTAAATCTGTAAATTAGCAACGTACTTTTCTTCTTATTACAACTCTTTGCTTTCAAAAAAATCCATCTAATTATATAAATAGAAAAATGCTTTAGTAAGATAAATGAAAGCTGTAATAGAAAATTCACCTTGTTTGAAGAATCAACAACTGTCCCCATGAGTTCTGCATCAATCCAAAATATCAAAATTAAGACTAGAAAACAGATAATTCACCATGTCTTTTTACAGATCTTGAAAAACAAAGGCACCCCCAAATTAGAACACTAGCCAATTCAAGATACGAGCAAGATCTAATGGGTCAAATGGAGAATTGTGAGATTTGGGTGACAACTAACAATGTGTCCAAGTTTCACGATTATAATGGAGGAAATTCGTCTTCATATACTGATTTAGTCGAAAGCATTTGTTCAATTTGTAGATCATTTCATGACACTTCAAATTTGATCAAAAGAACATGCGAATTATGGTGATCATAGATAAAACCAGTCGGTAGTACAGAGAAATTGCACATTGTGTACATCCAATTGACCTACTTAATTAACATCAACAGATCCCGCCCAAAAATGGAAAGCGGAAATCAGGGGTTTAAGATTTAAGATCTAACAAATGGAATCAATTAAACCCACAGGAAGCTACGATTTGTAATGGAATGGAATCGAATGAATCGTTTTTGAGCAGATCAGCGAGATTAACGTTGTTTGAATCTTACCGATGTGAAGAAAACGTTGGCGACTTGAAGAAATTTGACGAGAGATCTGACAAAATTGCGAATGGCGATGTCAGTTTTTGCTGAATTTTCGGGGTTTTATATGGTCCTTAGACCGCGTTTTTCTTGAAAAAGCTCAGAGTCCGGAATCTTGGATCTTTGTCACCTTTTTATTTAGGGTTTTTTCCAAAATAGACCTTATATTTATACTTTTTTTATCTATTTAAACCAAATGTTTTATTTTTTTCCTAAAAAGACCACATGTTTTGATGATCCTTGTTATTAAGAAAGGATAACCGGTTGACTAGTAAATAGCCAGTATCATATGTCTCTAGGTTTCGTTCACTGCGCTTCAAGATACAGAAATCGATATGCAAATCTAGGGCTTTTTCTGAAATCACACAACAAGAAGGCTATGGCATCCAATTCTTAGTTCCAGAAATCTACGCTTCAAGATACACAAATCGATATGCAAATCTAGGGCTTTTTATGAAATCGCAAACCAAGAAAGACATGGCATCCAATTCTCAGTTCCAGAAATCGCACAAGAAGGCTATGGCATCCAAGAATCACTTAAGTAAATTATTTTCTCGATCTCACGCATTGTTCTGGTCGATAGCCTTTTGCTCCACTCACCAACTCCACAACTATCTACGTTCAACATTCCTTATTCTCAATCCTCAGGTTCAATTTTCGAATTCCCCTCTTAGTACAAAAACTTCTGAGTTTGTGATTTGTGCATCTCAGGATAATATGTTTTTCGATTTTGTTTGTCTTCTTAGCTCCTGATTCGATCTTTTGGAGTTGTGTGTTAATTGATGTTGATTCAGGAGAACATGTTGATTCATTTTACCAAACTACCCTTAAGAAATCTAATAGAAAACAACGACAGAAGAAAAGAAAACCAAACTTATATCACTTTATCAAATTCTGTTTTTTTAGTATGCACAAATCTAATAAAAAGTATGTTTTTTTGTATGAAAACTTTGTTATATGAAACTAAATTGATGTTTATTGATGTTAATTCAGGTTTATAAAACTGAATTGATCATTCTTTGCTTGATTCACCAACTTGTTAGTCCTCAAAAATGTCATCTTCTTCGAGCATCAAGAGCATCAGAAGTAGAAGGATAGTAAGGAGCGGTGGAGTTGACTTGTGCAAGTGTAATGAAGAAGCTCCTATGTTTACATCATGGACTGCAAAAGAATCCTGGTAGAAGATTTTATGCATGTCCAAATTACAAGGTAAAATGTTTGTAAATTTTTTTTGTGGATGTCGAAATATAAACCTGAACTTATACCATGTAATGATATAATTGATCATTCTTTGCATTGTACTGAAATAAAATTATAAACTTGTCACTCAAATAAAATTATATTCTTTGCAGGATGAAAGTATGAATTGCAAATATTTCACGTGGATTGATGATGAACTTACAATCCAAAGGTACAAGGATCTACTCTTCAATATGCACCATGATATGAAGGGTATGGAAGATGAGATCAAAGAATTAAAGTTAAAGTTGAAGAAAAAACATGTTTGGAATGTGAAGAACGAAGAGTAAAATATGTTAGGATTGTAGTATTCTTGGTAGTTGTCTTGACATTGGTCATCTTAAGGTTGTGTTACTTTTGATGAATTAAGGTGTGTTAGGGTTATGTTTTGTATCTTAAGGTTTTGTTACTTTTGATGAACTAAGGTATGTTAGGGTTATGTTTTGTATGGCAAGATAGTTGGTTATGTTTTATATGGCAAGATAGTTGGTTATGTTTTGTATGAGTATATAAGTACTTTTCTATATATGCTATTTTCAGTTTTCAATTTTACCCTTTTAAAGTTTACATTCTTTCATTCTTAAATTTTGCAGTTTTGGTAATTTATTATATATATAATTACATATTACATATTATCTAAAAGAGTAATAAATACTAATATATATTTTAACGTTTATTGTAACATAAATAGAAAAATAAAATAAAAAACTGTTAATATGGGAGCTGTTAAGTTAAAAATTGGTTGAAAGTAGAATGTCGTAATAAGAAAAAGACAAAAAAGACAAAAAAGACAAAAAGGAATTTAGAACATAAAGGAATTTAGAACATAAACAAAGTACACAACATTTGATAGATATTTGAAAGTAGAATGTCGTAATAAGAAAAAGACAACAACGAATTTAGAAAATAAACAAAGTACACAACATTTCATTAATAGTTTACAAAGGGGAATGTTAATCCAAAGTGGATTAGAGTTTCTAAATATCATGTGGGTGTGAACTTGGCCATCATTAACACTTACAAAAAGTCCAAATAATAAGTTGCAACAAAAAGACCAAAATGGCCATATTAATAGTACTACACAAAAATACCCCCACCCCCTGTACAAAAATACAATCACCTCTATTCTACTAGTCCAATGTCATTGGTTATGTCGGGTCGAACCAGGCGCAATAGTTTCAGGTACAAAAGTTACATCACCCATTAGTGTTTCTTCAATGCCTTCTACTTCAAGTGTGACATCATCCATTATTGTTCCCGCTACGGTTTCAGGGACAAAAATGAAATCATCCATTGTTGGTAGTTGCACGGTTTCTTGGGTAATAGTTTCTTGGGTAAAATCATCCATTGTACCCATTAGTTCCTCAATTTCTTGGGAAATGTATCCAGACACCCGCAAATCAGCAATTGCTTGTGAATATGCACTTGGAACTTTAGTTTTTTTTTTCTTGGTCTTTTTGAAGTACCTTTAATCTTCTCCACACTTAGCCTTCTTATCTTCTTTTTTGGTTTGGGCTCAGGCTCCTTTGTAGGATTCTTACATGACTTTTTATTATGACCAAACTCTTGACAATTGTTCCACTTAACAGTTCTTTTCCTAGATCTGCAGTCTCCTTTCTCACTGGCATGCTTCTTCCTGTTCACAGTAGGCCTCCCAGGCATCCGCCTAGACATAGGTGGCAAAGATTTTTCATAAGGAGTCTTTGGCCATAGGTTGCTACCATTCATAGGTTGTAAAAAAGTAGAATAAGTCTCCTTGAATTTTTCACTTGAAAACCAAGGACTGATGAAATCTTCTGGATTTTGTTGATTGTAAAACATTGCAGCTATTGCATGAACACAAGGAATTCCTGATAATTCCCATAGTCTACATGAGCAGTACCAGGACTGCAAATCTACACAGTAGGACTCATAGGTTGACCTTGCCTCAAATATCCCTCCGCCACTTGGTATGACAGACCATGATCTACAAATACATTAAATGTACTTATTAGAAGGTGTAATAGACCAACACATGTTTCCAAATACAAGCAATGTACTAACCTGTAGTGTTCACCAAATGTTTCCAATTTCGTAATGATTGCAGGGCAAATAGGAGCCTCCCACATTTTTTGTAGGTTATACATCAAAGAAACTCTCTCCATGACACTTAAACGTATCATCTCCAACATTGTTAACAATGGCCTTTTTCTAGCATCAACAATCATCGCATTGAAGCTTTCACTAACACCGTTCTCAAAAGCCTCACATGTTCTATCTGTTAAAAAAATAAACATACTTGTTTTTCAGATTTATGAGTAAATGACCATTTTATCCTTCTGTATAAAAATGATTGTCGATAACAAATGATTGTTTATTTAAGAACTGCACAATTTCTTTTCTATAAATTATAATAGTTAAGAATTTTTTCGATTGTGAACATTATCAAACATGTTGAGCTAGTTTTGATCTTTAAAAGTTATTAGACTCTTAATTACGGACAATTTTTTATTTGTTGAAAGCTATGAAACTCAAACTCGAATATGTTATAATGGTATTCACATGCTCTATCTATTAAAAAAATAAACATACTTGTTTTTCAGATTTATGTTTTTTAGATTTCAGATTTTCAAATTGCTGTTTTTAGATTTATATTTTCAGATTTCAGATTTCAAATTTTCAGATTGCTGATTTCAGATTTATATTTTCAGATTTCAGATTTTTAGATTGTTGTTTTTAGATTTCAGATTTTCAAATTGTTGTTTTCAGATTTCAGATTTTAGATTTTCAGATTGCTGTTTTCAGATTTATATTTTCAGATTTCTGTTTTTCAGATTTCAGATTTTCAGATTTTTGTTTTCAGCTTTACATAAATCACAACAACCTTATCCACTTTGATTTACAAATTCATCCACTTTGGTTGCATTGGAATTGCTCATTCCTTTGTTCAATCTAGCACAATCTAGCACATCAACAAGGGCAAAAACATCCAACCACAAATGTTAAGTGCAAACACCAAATGTTAAGTGCTATTTTAAAGTATATAGAAAAAATTTAAGTAAAAAGGAAAATGAAATACTTACCTTGACAAAAGTAAGCACGACTCCATGAGCTCGGGTTATGGGACATTAAGTATTCATATGCACCCACATCTATAGCCTTCAATCTCTCCATCACAGATTTGAATTCAGGTTCGACACTGCAACCAGCAGCAACCCAAAACAGATCTTTGTACTCTTCTCCTTTATATGACTTCTTAAAGTTTGCGTATATATGGCAAACACATTATCTATGCTCCGCATTTGGCAAGACCTCCTTTACTGCTTCAAGTAGCCCCTAAAAGAATAACAATGTTATTTGACACTTTTTTTTATGAAAAAATGGACAACAAAATTTTGAAATTTATGACATAGGGGACAAGAATACAATATACCTTATGCTGGTCTGATATAACTATAAGACCTCCACCTTCTCGTACTCCAACATCCTCACTAAGAAGCTCCAAGAACCATTTCCAGTTTTGCTTGTTCTCAATGTCTACCACAGCCCAACATATAGGATATACTTGGTTATTGGCATCCCTTCCTATAGCTGTTAGGAGTTGACCCTTTACTTGCCCTTTCAAAAAGCACCCATCTAATCCTATCACTCTCCTACATCCAGCAATCCATCATGTTTTCAATGCATGAAAGCATACATAGAGTCAATGGAAGTAATGTTTTCCATCATGATTAAGGTTTACACCCACTTGCACAGTACTACCAGGGTTGGATCTTTGTATTTCTGCAACATAGTTCCAAATTCTAGCATAATGATCACTAGCCTTCCCTTCAATCATCACCATTGCCTTATGTTTAGCCCTGTTACGTTTACTGAGAGATAGGGTGATCTTGAATTTTTTCCTAACGAGTTCCCTCAGTTCTTTAAGTTTAATAGATGGGTTGAAAACAATCTCCTTCACAAGATGAGAAGCAATCCATTGAGGGGATACAAGGTGTCCAAAAGTAAACTTTCTTGAACACGAGTGCTTCTTTTTCATTGACTTTACTTGGACTGTTCTTTCTGTGTTCATCCATGATGCATACAAACGAAAATCACATTTTGTTTTTGTCTGTATCTCTACCACATCTAGCTACTAACCTAGTACTTTCAAGTTTCTCAAACCTTAGGGGATACCCATGGGCCACATCATAGTTAATAAGACAATTTTTCAATTGAGAAATTTTTTGATATTTCTCTCCAACCTTTGGTTCCATGAGATTCCACTCTATGGTGGGATCATGGATAGAATTGGAACCACAAATGTCATTCTCGTCATCTTCTAGATGAACTAAATCATCTACATATTCATCTTTTTCACCAAAAAACTCATATTCATCTTCAAAAAGTTTGGTAAGAAAAGGATCTTTA